AGGAAGCGACACATCAAAAAGGACAGACCAAGGAAAGTACTACAATGAGATAACCTCCAGGTATGGAGGGACAGATGCCTACGGAGGGATGAGGAAGTAAAAGAATTGGCAAACAAGTTGGCAGACCTTCAGTCAGTCGTCAACTTCATGATGCAGAATAATGTTTAGCAGCCACACATACCCGTTGCAAGATACGCCGATGCCAGCAACCAACGCCCAGAAGGGCGGAAGAAAACAATCCCCGACGTCCCTCAGCATACCAGGAGCAGAAGGCATTCTCACCGGCCTTCCAGAGAAGTCGGGCGAGAAGAACCGAGACAAGAAGAGTCCCGAAGGATGCACCACACGAAGAATCTAGAGCCCAAAGAACATCGGCATGTTCAAAGGCAAGCACTCTGCTTTGACACAACCCATGGAGAAAGATCCAAACGGGCCCATCACGAGGACGAAAGCAGCGTACCAAAAAGACTAAAATCCATAGACAGCCGAGCTCCAGGGAGGAGTAAAGAAGACCTGAGGGACTACCTAAAAAGGAGGCAGTAGAATGTGAAGCCGAGTAAACTCCCAGTAAAACCGAAGACAGCCTTCTCGGTGGAACTGGACAAATTCGAACCACCAAAGAGATTCAGTATGCCGAGGTTTCAAATTTATGATGGTAAGTCAGACCAAACTTTCATGTTGGACTGTACCTAAATTCAATGGCGTTATATAGTGGGAACGAGCCGTTGCTCTGCAAAGTATTCCCTCATCCTTTGGGGAAATTGCATCTGATTGGTTCCATAAATTACCAAAGGAAGCATAAAGACATGGGAAGGCCTGCCCGAGATGTTTGTGGCCAGGTTCGTGACCAACAACTGCAACCCTGAGGGTTGATGCTTTGATGGCTCTAAGAATCACCAAGGAAGAAGGCCTTAGGGCCTATGCGAAAGAGTACTACGAGGTGTTCAACCGAATACCCGAATGCAACCAAGAGGTAGCGGTCGGTCTTTTCAAATCAAATTGAAAGGTACTGAAGATATTTTCCTGATCTCCTTTCGTTACTTATGCATGATTCTCTTCATTACTCCGTTTAGATGGTAAAGCACTACAGGAAATTTGTTTTTTAGTGGCGTTTTAAAAACGTCGCGAAAAGCTTGAAAAACGTAATGACGTGTAAAATTTTCGCCATTGATGAAGCCGCCGCAATAGCTACACAACGTTTGAAAAACGTCGTTAAAAACATTATACGGCGTTTCTTAAAACGCCAAACGCCGCAAAATCTTTGACGACCATCTCGCCTTCCGCCCTCAATTAACGTGTGATGTGAGAATGACGTCATTTAGTGGCGTTTTTTCGAAAAACGCCACTATTTTTTATTTTTTTTATTTCCTACACGAATTAAATGTGTGACGTCACAATGACGTCATTTTGTGGCGTTTTTTCAGAAAACGCCACTTTTTTCTTCTTTTTTTTTTTTTTTTTGGGTGGGGGTTGGTGGGTTCCTTGCTAGTGGTGGAAACTGAATTCACAATTTGGGAATCTCATGTTTTATGTTTGCTCTATGCAACCAAACTGCTAGATTTAAAACCAATCCTCAACACATGCCATATATATGCATAATATAATCTCACCAGAATCATCATTTCAAGTGAAAATTTCACATCTAGTGTCATATACATGCATAGTGTCAACTAAGACATCTAAGCAACCATGAGTTTGTAACACATTGTTTCCATAGGACGCAATTCAAACAAAGGATTCCATGTCCACGTTGAGTTTTAGAAACTCAAGACAACCAAAAATGTTTTTGCTTGTACTTTGATGGGTCTAAGGCTCTCCCTCTCAACCATGATTCGAAAGCTAAAAATTTCTACCTGGCAGGAAGATTACAATATGGTAAAAATCCTATCAAAGAGCCGAAAGATACTTGTAAAATGATTGATTGAAATTCAGAAACAAAAATAGAAATACTAATATAATAAAATGGAAAATTAAATTGCAAGGATAAGACAATGCGCAACAGTGTGAGAGAAGGTAATCTGATTAAATGTCTTCAAAGGAAAAGAGATGTAACCACTGTTGCTAAAGGAAATGACCCACACTACACAATCCAAGACCTATTTTCCCTTGCCAATGTAATTTTTAATCCTTCTCTCTTTGTTTTATTTTCCAGTCATAGGCAAGAGTTGAATGTGAGGTCTATTCCCCCCCTTCTGTACAAAGCATATGCAGTTTAGATGCTTAGCTCTACAGAAGTTTTTTCGGGGTGAATAAGCTCTAAAGAAGTTAAAACAGCCAAGAATGCATCAATAATCATTGATTATTTATTATGTTGGCTAAAAAACATAATAACAACACAAGCCCATCACAATACCGGGGCTTTAACTCTCAACTTCCGCCAACAGGATATATCACTCCCAAAATGGCCAGAAGCTATCCATAATGATAACTTGATAAGACACTCAATGCACGTACCTTTCCCACCAGTGAAGATTGCTCTATCTGCATGTTATCTTCCAAGTCTTGTAGCTTCTTTTCATGGTAATCTAAAAGATCAACCTTGTGTCCAAACAATCCCAAAAAGCCATCACGCCTCAACCTTTCTCGAGTACGGTTTGTTGACTTCAAGCGAACAAGCCTCCTATTCAATTTATCTGCATCACTCTAGAAGAAGAAAAAAAATCAAATAATTAGAAGTCACAAAGGAAAAAGAAAGCAAGTTGATATAGTTTTAAGATGTGCACTAAACCACATCTGAAGTTTTATATCTAAAATAATTTTGTTCTAATGCTCCAATTGAACAATGTATGAAAAGGAGTGCAGACTGCAACTAATTTAATCTTCCAAAAGGCTCAAAATTTCATTCACATGAACCAATTACACACAAAAAAATGATGATG